GCCCGAATAGAAGCAGTCATTGAAGCCAAAGGTGGTTTTATAGAATAATTAGATAAAGAAGTATCATGAAGGATATTTGTGTCAATTTGAATTAAATATATACATTGTTTACTAAGATATTGTTGTTTATTTAACATACTAAAAATGTCCTCAAATAGAACTCGCACCCTTTATCTGACGTATTTATAAATCTACTATATGACCATGCCTTAAATATTGCTGCCGCATAGGGTCTGTTGCTCCTGCTATATATTTAGATATCCTTGATCACATCGAAGAAGGATGTGCAATTTTATTGGTCCTAGCCTAGCATTTCGGCTTTAGTCTCTTTCCTACGGCCGTAACGTAGCTTCCCTGTGCCTTTTCTTTCTTTGTAATTCTTCTGAAGAAATTTCCTCTATGGTACGCCGACTTTATGAATTTAAGCGCAGTACTAGATTGGCAGCAAGGCCCCATCATTTTACAGATGAAATGGCTAGATCTAACCGTATGTTCTATGTTAACACTTTTTTCTCTATCGCACTTCTCGCTTGTGGAATATTCTTCCGGTTTCTTGTTTCCCAGTCAAACCTAATTTTGAAAAATTTAAATGCAATGTCAATCGTTATCTACTGTCTTCTTGATTACTCTTCTATTGTTCTCCCTCTTTAATAATATTTCTTTTTTTTCTTATTCTTTCACACTCAGTAACCCCTTGTGTCTTAGTGGCTTTACTCCCTTGCATGGGGTGAAATGATTAGAAAACAAATTTAAATGCAATGTCAATCGTTATCTACTGTCTTCTTGATTACTCTTCTATTGTTCTCGCTTCTTAATAATGTTTCTCTTTTTCTTATTCTTTCACACTCAGTAACCCTTGTGTCTTAGTGGTTTACTCCCTTGCATGGGGTTAAATGATTAGAAAACAAATTTAAATGCAATGTCAATCGTTATCTACTGTCTTCTTTGATTACTCTTCTATTGTTCTCGCTTCTTAATAATGTTTCTCTTTTCTTTATTCTTTCACACTCAGTAACCCCTTGTGTCTTAGTGGCTTTACTCCCTTGCATGGGGTGAAATGATTAGAAAACAAATTGAAATGCAATGTCAATCGTTATCTACTGTCTTCTTGATTACTCTTCTATTGTTCTCGCTTCTTAATAATGTTTCTCTTTTTCTTATTCTTTCACACTCAGTAACCCCTTGTGTCTTAGTGGCTTTACTCCCTTGCATGGGGTGAAATGATTAGAAAACAAATTGAAATGCAATGTCAATCGTTATCTACTGTCTTCTTGATTACTCTTCTATTGTTCTCGCTTCTTAAAAATGTTTCTCTTTTTTTCTTATTCTTTCACACTCAGTAACCCCTTGTGTCTTAGTGGGTTTACTCCCTGCATGGGTGAAATGATTAGAAAACAAATTTAAATGCAATGTCAATCGTTATCTACTGTCTTCTTGATTACTCTTCTATTGTTCTCGCTTCTTAAAAATGTTTCTCTTTTTTTCTTATTCTTTCACACTCAGTAACCCATTGTGTCTTAGTGGCTTTACTGCTTTGCATGGGGTGAAATGATTAGAAAACAAATTTAAATGCAATGTCAATCGTTATCTACTTTCTTCTTGATTACTCTTCTATTGTTCTCGCTCCTTAATAATGTTTCATTTTTTTTCTTATTCTTTCACGCTCAGTAACCTCTTGTATCTTAGTGGCTTTACTGCCTTGCATGGGGTGAAATGATTAGAAAACAAATTTAAATGCAATATCAATCATTATCTACTGTCTTCTTAATACTCGTTCAATAATTGTCTTCTCATTAATAATAGTTTTTCTCATATTCTCTAACACTTGTAACCACTTACGTCTTAGTGGCTTTATTGCCTTCCTTTGGGTGAAATAATTAAAGAAAAGAGAAGGAAATGTTCTGAAGGCAGTAAACAAAGGAAATAGTTTAATAAAAAAAGGTGGGGGTGGTTACTCCTGTGCAGAAGAATCAACTTATTTTCGTCCCACTGAGAGGGGGGCAATCGCAGACGTAAAGAAAGTGGCAATGAGTAAAACTACAAGAGAATGATTAGAAAGAAGAACTTGTTACACAAAAGGAATTGAGAAACATAAAAAAGCGAAATGTAAGAAAAAAGTGTTTAAAAAAGAAAAGAAATTGAGGTATGAAGAAAAAGAAATTGAAAGAAAAACACGAAAGATGAAAATGAAAGAGAAAGAAAAGAAGGACAAAAAAAGAAAAGAAATTGAAAAAAAAAATGAAAAAAATCAATTGAAAAATAAAAAAGGCAAAATTAAAGATTAAGAAACGCGTGAAAAAGAAAGAAAAGAAAAGAAAAAAGAAAAAAAATTAAAATGAAAGATTAAGGAAAGAGTGAAAAAAAAAGAAGAAAATGGATAGAGTATTATTAAGATTAAAGTAGACATTGAGAAAAATAAAAGCATGAAGGAGTGAAGAGAGAAAGGAAAATAGGTAGAAAGAAAGAGGAAAGATGTGAAAAAGTAAAGGACGAAGCTAGAATAAAGAAGGAAAAAGAGAAAGAACGGAAAAGAAAAAAAAGAAAATAGAGCAACACAAAACTTAGAGAAAGTAATAAAGAGGGAGAAAAAAAAAATCGGAAAGAAAAAAGAAACTAAAACGAAGAAGAAAAAGCGGAAAAATTAAGACGGATGTGAGAAAAGAAAAAAGAAAGAGAAAAGAAAGAAAAGAGAAAGGGGGGGGGGAAAGAAAGAAGAAAGAAAAGAAACTGAAAATCAAAGAATAATGTCGAGAAATTGAGAAGGAAGAAGGAAAGTAACAAAATAAATAAGGGAGGAAGGAAAGAAGAAAAGGAATGATGAAAATAAATGAAAGAAGCGTTAAAATAAAAGAACATGAATAAAAGAGAAATCTAAAACAATAACGCCAACAAAATTTTCATGAATTACAATGTCCATTGAATATTTTGGCCGCAGTAGATAAAGTGGAAATTTATATCATCCGCTTGTCATCTGGTAAGGCTTGGGAAATCCCGTCGGTAAGCGATGGTGGGTGAGAGTCATAGTGATGGGGCTTTACCGTTTGAGTTTATAGCGATTGGACCGGTCGAGCTGTGGCCTGAGAAATAAAATAAACAACGACCTGACAGGGCGACTCATTGTTTGTTATTTGTGTTAGTTTTGTAACGTTTTATTTGGGAGATTTCAAAAAAAAAAAAAAAAAAAAAAATGAATTCCAGAATAAAAAACAAAGAATATAGAATTTTTGAGTGGAATAAATGAAAATAAGAAAACTCAAATAAGGCACGGAAGATTCTCCGAGGAGTTTTTGAGTGATTGGGTTTTCTAGTTTGATATTTATTCTCAGCAAATAGGGACTCTTGAGGCTTAGAGTTTAAACGAGAAAAAAGAAAGATAGAAGTCAAAAGAAAAGAAGAAAGAAAGAAAGAAAGAAAGAAAGAAAGAAAGAAAGAAAGAAAGAAAGAAAAAAAAGAAAGAGAAAACGTAGAAAGAAGGGGAAAGATAATACAAGGATTAAATTCAAAGAAAATCGTATAAAGAAAATGGGTTGGAGAGAAGCATGAAGAGAAATTGAAATGAAAAAGAAAAAATGAACGATAACAAAAAAAGAATGATGAAAAGAAAGAAAAATCAAAAAGGAAAAAGAATGAAGAAGAAAAGTAAAATAAAAAAAGAAAAGAAAGGTGGAAAAAAAAACGAAAATCAAAGGAAATGTGAAATAAAAAGAAAAGTGAAAAGAAAGAAAAATAAAGAAAAGGAAAATGAATGAAATGAAAAGGAAAAGAATGAGAGAGGAAAAGGAAAAACAGAAATAAAGGTAAAGAAGGAAAAGAAAAAAAGAAAGAAAATGATAAAGACCGAACGAAAAAGAAAAGAAAACAAATAAGATGAAGGAAAGAAAAATTAATGAAATATAAATAGAAGAAAAGAATGAAAAAAATAGAATCTAAAATACTTTGTTTGAAGAAAGAAAGAAAGAAAGAAAGAAAAAAAGAAAGAAAGAAAGGAAAAGGAACGAAAGAAAGAAAAAGTCACTGGTAGAGGGAAATTGCAAAGAAAGAAAGAAAGGAAAAAGAAAGAAAGAAAGAAAGAAAGAAAGAAAGAAAGAAAGAAAGAAAGAAAAATCCCCTTTATTCAGCTGGACTGAAACATGACGAAAAGCGAGAAAGAAAAAGACGATGATAGGAAAAATATCTGTGACGACATTAAGAACAAAAAAAAGATAAAAGTGGGAATAAGAAAGAGAACTTCAGCTAGAAAAAGAAGAAAGCATTTTTTGTAAATGTTGAAAGATAATGCAAATATGCAAGAGAAAAAGGGAGAGAGAAAAAAAGAAAGAAAAAAATAAAATAATTTTACTGATGAAAAAAATTAAATAAAAGCTACAGCAGAAAGAATTAAATATTAGAAAGAAAGTTAATATAGAAAGAAAAAAAAAAACTGCGCCTGTATTCAAAGGAGAAAGAAAGAAAGCGATAGAGAAAAAAAAAATTTCTAAATGTAATCGGCCAAAAGAAAAGAAAAAAAAGAAAAGAAAAAAAAAGAAAAGAAAAAAAAGAAAAGAAAAAAAATGAAACAAACTAAAACGGAAAAAAAAACATCACGTGACTTTTTTGCCTTGAAATCTTACCCTGAAATCTTTCCATGAGACGAGATTTTCGGCAATAATGTCGGAATTTAGCCTCCCGACGATAAAGAATCATTTTTTCTTCATTTGACTGGCGTAAGATAAATGATAAAAGCCTGAATAATAAATCCACACGAACGATACGAAAAGAATCTTTAGGACCAAAGATTAAAAAAAATGGCGACCAAAGTATGATGAACCTATTAAAAGATTTTGAGTAAATTTATATAGTGTCGTTAGATGTTTTAGAGGAGATATATTTGAATCGAAACGCTGATCGCTATAAACTCTTACACCCATTAAAGCAATAATAATAAAATAAAATATATTATCTTTATATGATGGACTTTATTTTTAAAAATTGCAAGAGGGTGTCCATCTTTCCTAGGGACGATGCGTAATCCGCCCGAACCTCTCGACCGTGGAGGTGTAAGTAGATATTTGCAACCAAATTCATGACCGTTTAACTTCGTAATTTAAAATGAAATCTGAGCAATGTATATTTTTTCTTTGCCAGTGCATCTTATATAAGAACATCTACGAAATATTTTTGTAAGAGTATCTATCTATCTATCTATCTATCTATCTATCTATCTATCTATCTATCTATCTATCTATCTATCTATCTATCTCAGTCCCTTCCTATCTATCTATCTATCTATCTATCTATCTATCTATCTATCTATCTATCTATCTATCTATCTATCTCAGTTTCTTTGTATCTATCTATCTATCTATCTATCTATCTATCTATCTATCTATCTATCTATCTATCTACACCTAAAATCTATCTATCTATCTATCTATCTATCTATCTATCTATCTTTAGTCTCGTTCATATCTATCTTCTATCTATTCATCTATCTATCTATCTATCTATCTATCTATCTATCTATCTATCTATTCAGTCTCTTCTATCTATCATATCTATTCATTCATTCTATCTATCTATCTATCTATCTATCTATCTATCTCAGTCTCTTCCTATCTATCTATCTATCTATCTATCTATCTATCTATCTATCTATCTATCTAAATGGATGTTTATACATTTTGTCGAAGTTCCAGTTAAATTTTTTTTTTTTTAAAGATTTTCTCCCAGCTATTCTTTTTTTTTCTTTGTCAATCGGTATCACCCCAAGCAAGGCAGTAAAGTCACTAAGACGCAAGCGGTTACAGGATGTGGAAAAAAATTAAGAACAGAAACATTAATAATGAGCGGGAAGAGGAATGAGTAATCAGGTGAATATTAGATAGCGATAAGCATTACATTTAAATTTTTACAGATTAAAGTTGACTGAAAAGCATGCAGCAGGAAGGGAGTTCTACAAGTAAGAAGTGCGAGAAAAACTGTTAGAATAGAACTTACGGTAACATCTAGATAGCTCAACTGGAAATTGTCGAGATTTCGATGCCAGTCTAATACTTCACCCAAATTCACAGAGTCTAGTTATCATCTCATTTTAACAATTACCATGGAAGTATTTATAGAAAAGGCACAGAAAGGCAACTGAGTGAGTAAATGACTGAAGCCGAGCCGCCAGATCAGGACCAATAATATTGCTGATTATTCTTTGGATGTTATCGAAGATCTCAAGGTAAACAGCAGGGGCACCGTGCCATATGTAGCAGCAATATTCTAAGCATGGACGAATAGTAGACTTATAGATATGTAAGATAGATTTCGGAGAAAAAATTATCTCGCATGACACAGTAAGCCGATTTTCTTAGCAGCTGACCTAGCAATGGATTCAGTATGGTCTTTCCATTTCATGTTAGATTAGAAAGTTAGCCAGAGAAGGCGCAATAAGTCACTTCTCTGGAGGTTAGCATCAGCCATACTGATGGAAGGCAGAGAAATGTCTCTCAGATGATTAATGGTGAGCAGTTTTGTTTTTGAAGCCATCTTTTGACCCAGTTAACGACGGTCTTGAAGTCGTTTTGGGCATTGGCTTCTATTTTGACCTTGACGGACTGATTAACTTTACTATCGAGGCAGGAGTAAATAGTTGTATCATCAGCGTATATAGCAAGTTGGGAGTTAATGTCACCAGCAAGGTCGTTACTGCTGTTAATTTAATGTATTTGTGAACATATCTGGGGAAGGTATGATTCGATGTTATTATTTTATGTGTGCTCCTTGGAATTACCTTTTATGAATACAATCCAGGATAAATCTTTCTCTATTTCTGTAAGAATGGACTAAAAAGAAAAAAAATCTTGTATTTTTGACCGAATGATGTAAGGAAAGAAACAGGCGTTAACAGATATTAATGATTTAATGTTAAAACACACAAAAAACGCGCGCGCGTGCGCACGCACGCACGCACGCACGCACGCACACACACACACACACACACACATATATATATATATATATATATTTATATATAAAGGGTGTTCCAATAACTTGGATCGATTTTAATGCGAATTAAGTTTAAGCGTCTAATAATTTTTTTCTTTGTCTTTCAGATTTAGCGGACATTTTGTCGATATTATTTTTCACAAATAATTGCCATGACTTAAATAACATGATCCAATAGAGAAATAAATACATTTTCACCAATAACACTGATTTATTTACTGCTGATTTTGATCCGTCTTAATGAAACACCCTTTATATATAACCCTTCTTAATAAAAACATATATATATATATATATATATATATATATATATATATATATATATATATGTATATATATATATGAAAGTGTAGGAGAACGAACAGAAGGATTACAGTGTTCAAAAACATTAATTTAAAAATAGTGCTCAATTCATAAAAGTAGAGCCGTAAATATTTAGTTATCTTGTGCAATGTTACATTAGAACATGCACATATCCACTACAAAATTATACATTTTTGTTTCAACGTCAAAAAAGGGAAACACTTTTTTACACGTCTCATCAGGTGGGAAATTACGGTGTTACTAAAGTTTAGTTTAATTGAGCTATGGTCAGAAAAATGTAACTTGAGTCTTCTTGTTAAACCTGTTGTAGTATATCCAATATAACCATTTACAAATTTGGATGGATCAGGAACACAGTTCTTTTAGGGACATGTGAATTCGTAAATAATACTGGTTCACTGTAGTTGGGATCTTGCAGGTGAATTATTATTTTTGACAATGAAGTTAGTAGTTTTAAATTCTTTATAGTATATATATATATATATATATATATATATATATATATATAGTGTAAGAAAAAATTGATTTGGTAATGGCTTATACAACCCACGTATAGGAAAATACTATAGCATAAACCGACGTTGCGAAAAAATGTTATAGAATTGTCTTGTATTTTTGATTCCTCAAAGAATTACCAAGAGAAACCGATATATGCAATTCAGTCTATAGTTAAAAGAAAGTTCTTTCAGACCACAACAAGCTTATTTGTACATTGGTTGATATTTAACGGCATGTTAACACAGCCATGGGCTATTTAATGCCGAAATCTAAATATTTTGAACACAATTGTACTCCATTAACTTCAGATAAAATGTATTGTTGGTCATTTTCCTTTGAATATATATTGTTATCAATTTTACTATAAATAGATATTTTTGGTTGGTTGATTTTGTTTAGCGGCATATCAACACCTCTATGGGTTATTTAATGCCGAAATCTAAATATTTTGAACAAAATTGTATGCTTTCAACTGAAGATAAAATGTAGTGTTGGTCATTTTCTTTTAAATATGTATTGTTAGCAATTTTACTATGAATTGATACAGTTGGTTGGTTGATTGTGTTTAGCGGCATATCAACACCTCTATGGGTTATTTAATTGTGAAATCTAAATATTCTGAATACAATTTTATGGCTTCAACTAAATATATTTTAAACGCAATTGTATGCCTTCAACTACAGATAAAATGATCCCTTTTCTATAAAATGTATTGTTAGTTATACTAGGATAATCTGTATTGCTGGTACTTTTACTATAAAATATATTTTTATTCTTTCATAGTGTTTTTTGGAGGGGGTCACTATTTACCCATATCTGTGACCCTAACAGGTGCTACCATCTCGGGTCAGGATGGATATGGAAACAACGGCAATTAAGAAGTGGTTACGCGCTCTTCAAAACCGTCAATCTTCCGATCAGAGACCTTGCTTTAAAAATCTAAACCCCAATGAATATTTACAAAAATGAATAAAACTATATACAAGAAATTAAACAAATTAATGTTAGAAATAAAATAACCCACAATCCCTAAGTGTGACTGGACAAAATGCGGGACTATAATAATATAAAACATTCATTCATCCCAAGAACTCACACAGACACGCACTCGTTCAGACAACAATAAAAACAGCCGAATTGAAAGACGCCCCGCATCTACCAGTGAATTGACATCACTGACCACCTAACGAGGGAGGGGATGGGGAATTAAACCAAGAAAATGGGGAAAGAAATAATAAGCGAAAAGTTCATCCGAACAATTACCATGAAAATATTTATAGAAAAGGCCCAGGAAGTCAACTTTACAGCAGAGGGTAAGTGACTGAAGCCGAGATGCCAGATCAGGACCAATAATATTGATGATTCTTTGGATTTTATTAAAGATCTCTTGGAGCACCGCATTATAGATGGCAGAATTATTCTAAGCATGAAAGAAGAAAAAGTAGATGTGGAGAGCCACGATCCTCCATGCCTATATATTAATGAGAGTCTTTGACAGATAAATGGATATACATCCGAAATTATACATTGATTAGCTTTTTACCTTTTATCTATCGTTTGCGGTTGATTTAAAACGGAAGCATATTTGGGATTGTAAGAATAATTCTTCTTTTAGAGAGTAAAGAATGTACTAACAATATTTTGGTGATAGCAATGTTTTTCTTAGATATAATACTTAATATTTAACCCATAGTTAGGGGAGAAGAAATCGATTTATACGATTCCCAAAGGTAAGTAAATGTAGAATACTCGACTGGAATTCGAACTTCACTCTCCAATTTCCCATTTCGAGCCGCTACGCATTCCAACCTCCGCACATCCTATTGATAGACAGGTGTACGGAAAGAAAACTGGATAAAAATGACGGATTGGGTGAAAGACGTACTGGAGGAGAGACCTTATTCTTTTATCTTTCTTTCGATTTCATTTCTCTCTTTGCTTTTTTCTTCTTTTTTTTTTTTAGTTTATCCAACGACGTAAGCAAAGCACAAGCTACACCCATCGGCAGACAGGTCGCCACCAGGACAACGGTCTCCAAGGGAACAACAAGTGGTGGAGATGTAAGTGCGAATCTTATTCTCTCCCCAGTGTCTTCCGGAATCGACTCATTAATATGGAAGTTCGCAGAAATAATGAGCAACTGAAAAAAAAAAAATCAAAGTTTAAAAAATACGTTATTTTCCAAGTGCAAAAATATATTCGAGTGATCGGACAAAAATTTGCGTATGTAACATCTTCACCGTTTGTATGCGTTTTTGCTGTATTTTTCTATGGATATTTTTGTCTCGTTTGTGATTGTTTGCGCTTGCGTACAAGAGACTAGATGTGTTTAAGCTTGTATCAGTAATTGTCGATATACATATATATATATAAAATCTGCAGGTGTATGCACGCGCATGCGCGCTTTGGTAACAACGACAAATAATTGCGGATGTTCAATGACAACTAGTAAAAACACAATAAGTTGAACAGTGGTTAATATGGGCGACACGCATGCGCACAACGCATAAGAACAGTGAGTTCATTCCTTGGCGTGAGTTCTATGAATAAAAACTTTAGCCAAATCTGGCCATATCCAAGAAACATGCCATTAATTAAGGAAGTATTTGTCAACTAGTGACAATGGAAAAAAAACGGACACTTATACTTAGCATCAGGAAAAGACAATTGAAATTTCCAGGATAAATAATGAGGAAAGAAGGTTTGGAAAATGTAATGCAGATCGAAGAGAATCATAATAACGCATGACCTACCTTTTGAGTAAATGGATGGCCGAGCTGGGTTTGGGAGGGATGATGAAATTTACTGAGAGATACAAAGGACAGGAAGTTGTGGAGAGCCATGATCGCCAAAGTTCACATGCACGGCACATAGAAAAAGTGTTCACACGCATAGATAAAAGGAGAGATAAACTATTTTTATTAATATACTGAATATGTGTATGTGTGTGTGTGCGTGTGTGTGTGAGGGAGGAGAGAGAGAGTGTTTATTCGTACACACACACACACACACACACACACACATATATATATATATTGTATACTTGGGTAGCAATCTTTCTTTTATTATATTTCATTAAAAATGACAAATGAATATCTTGGGAATTTTTATTTAATTTTCTTTCCAAGTTTTCAAGAAAAATCAGTTTCAGAATGACACTTTTCATGCAACACAAAATAACGATTTACTAAACGTTGTTTAGATGTTGTACAAAGTCAGAAGTATGGGGTACCCGGTGAAGATCGAACTCACTACTCAGTCGTAACTGATGTAACAAGACATGCTTGTTAACCTTTTCACTGCGTTGAAGTACCCCTCACGCGAGCCATGATAAAAAAATAAAATATTAATACTTGTTAGCACGGAAAATGACCATCTTATAACACATGAAAATGGCTCAAGTCGTTGACAAAAGCGCATTCGATTCCTTATGCTATAAACAATTTCTTCACACACTTACTCCTCCCAAAATCTTGTAAGGACACAAGAAAAATGAGATATAAAGCTCACAAAATATTCCTTGTCATTTTTAATGAAACATGCATATAATAATAATAATAATAATAATAAAAATCTGCAGCTTCTACGGGAAGGAAACTGAAAGAAACTGGTATGAACACCACCCAGACCCGGTTACGGAGATAGGACCTGATACAATTCTATAGGATTACACAATACACACTGACAGAACAATCAAGGCCAACCGGCCAGATATTGTTATTAAAGACCACAAACAAAAACGGTGCCTCCTTATTGATATGGCAGTCCCTGCTGACTGCAATGTATCTTTGAAGATATTCAAAAAGCTGTCAAAATACAAGGACCTTGAAATAGAAATCTCGAAAATGTGGCATATAGAACATTAACAATCCCTGTTGTAGTTGGAGCCCTAGGACTGGTTGGAAAAAGATTGCAGTAGACTAATTGAAGGGATTCCTGGAAGTCCATGCCTCAAGGAGATACAAAAGTTGTTCTGAAAAAGTACAGCCCACATCTTACGAAGGGCTTTATCTATGTAATATTTTTTTTGTCAGTGAAAAATCATGATGCCATTTTAACCTTAGGTCCCTAAGGGGACCCGGAAAGAAATGTGTAAACGCCAGAAATCAAAGAAAATAATAATAATAATAATAATAACGGATATAGGACCTGTAACAATTTTATAGGACGTTATAATATACACAGACCGAAGAATCCAAGCTAATCGCCTACACATCGTGATTAGAGATTGCAAAGACAAAATAAGCCTCCTTATTTACATGGCAGTCCCTGCAGACTGCAATGTATCTTTGAAGATCTTCACAACAGTATCAAAATACATGGACCTTGAAATCGAAATCTCAGAAATGCGGCACACGCCGACATACAATTCCAGTTGAGTTGGAGCCTTCGGATTAATTGGAAAGGATTCCAATAGACTCAGTAAAGGAATTCCTGGAAGCCCATCTCTTAAAGAAATACAAAAAAAAATGTTCTCACAAGTACAGCCCACAGCTTACGAAGGACTTTATCTATGTAAAATACGTGGGATTTTTATTTATTTATTTTGTAATTGCTCAGTGGAAAATGTTAGGATGCCATTTCTGACTTTAATTCTGTGGTCGGGACCCAGAAAGAAATAAGTATACAGCAGAAATGAAAAGAAATAATAATAATAATAATAATAATAATAATAATAATAATAATAATAATAATAATAATCAAAATGCAGATTCTGTGATAAATATCCAGAAACGATTGATCATCTTGTGTCAGGTTGCACGATATTAGGACCCACTGAATATAAAACCCGGCATGACAGAGTGGGCCAATATCTACACTAGAAAATCTGCAACTTTTACGGGAAGGAAACTGAAAGAAAATGGTATGAACACCACCCAGACCCGGTTACGGAGATAGGACTTGTTACAATTCTATGGGACTACACAATACACACTGACAGAACGATCAAGGCCAACCGCCCAGATATTGTTATTAAAGACCACAAACAAAAAAAGTGCCTCCTTATTGATATGGCAGTCCCTGCTGACTGCAATGTATCTTTGAAGATATTCAAAAAGCTGTCAAAATACAAGGACCTTGAAATAGAAATCTCGAAAATGTGGCATATGGGAACATCAACAATCCCTGTTGTAGTTGGAGCCCTAGGACTGGTTGGAAAAGATTGCAGTAGACTAATTGAAGGGATTCCTGGAAGTCAATGCCTCAAGGAGATACAAAAAATTGTTCTGACAAGTACAGCACACATCTTACGAAGGGCTGTATCTATGTAATTTAATTCTTTTTTTTTTTTTTTTTGTCAGTGGAAAGTGTCATGATGCCATTTCTAACCTTAGGTCCCTGGGCTGGACCCGGAAAGAAATGTGTAAACGCCAGAAATCAAAGAAAATAATAATAATAATAATAAAACTATCAAAATACAAGGATCTTGAAATGGAAATCTCAAAAATGTTGCACATGAGGACATCAATAATTCCAGTTGTATTTGGAGCCCTCGGATTGATTGGAAAATGTTCCAATAGATTCATTGAAGAGGTTCCTCGTAGACCATGCTTTAAAGAAATACGACAAATTGTACTCATAAGTACAGTTCGTATATTATGAAGAGCTTTATCTTTATAAAATATGTGTCATATAGTTTATTTTAATTTTTTTACAAAAAGAATCAGTGGAAAATGTCATGAAGTCATTTCTGACCTTAGGTCTGGGGTCAGACTCGGAAGGAAATTTGTATACAGCAGAAATAATAATAATAATAATCTGGAAGTCGAAATAGAAAAATGTGGAAATTAAAAACAAGAATAGTACCAATCACAGTAGGAGCGCTTGGAATGATAAAAAGGGAACACAACAACACATTTAAAAAATCCCTGGAAATCCCAGGTTAAGAGAAATATTGTCTTGATAAGTCCAGCCCACACACTAAGAAGAACTCAATCGCTGTATCACTGATGATGTTATGGGAGTTAGAAAAACAAATCATGAAATGTATCTATAACAACACACCACTACCTGACTTAGGTCTTCCCGTAGACTAGGTGGGTACTGTGACCATAGCAGAAATCAAATAATAATAATAATAATAAAAGCTAAAACTTTAAATATTAAAATACACTGAACGTTCAATGCCAAAGTTGGGAGAGTTTAAATATATTATAATTGTATTAATAAATTATATTAAAATAATTTCGATATTTTCCCTTCAAGTGACATATGCTATCTATTTTAGTTTTTGCAGCTATTGGAAGTCTTTAAGTGATGTGCATTTTCTCATTTTGTAAAGTTGTTGGTTTCTGATTCTTATATGTTCCGATTAAGGGCTGCCTTCTTTAAGGTCCAAAGGAACCATTTATTTGAAGCTGAGAAAGCTGTTGTATACAGTTGACAAATTTTGAAAAAAGACATTACTGTAAAAAAAAAAAAAAAAAATGACTCCCTATAACTCCATATCCTATACTCTTGACTAGAAAACGTTATTTAAAATAAGCAATGTCTAACGGCGCCATATTTTAAACAATTTTCAGTCAGTACTTAAACATTGACAATTATGTTTTTTTTTTCTTTCCATAGTCAAAATATTGCAACCATTATCTTCTACCATTCGCTTATTCATTAAATATTGTTGCCACATCTGGTCTGGTGATTCTGCTCTTGTACCTTTTCTTTGAATATTTTCATAGAAATTGTTCCGACGAACTTTACTATTTGCTACCGTGAGTTCGTGGTTTTAAGCATAGTACTAGCTTGTCAGCTTATCATTTCCTTTTGGAGTCGCTAGATGCAACCGTAAATTCTATTCTAATTGTTTCTTCTCTCTCACCTGTCGTTCGTCGAATTCTCAGATGGCTCCTTGCTTTCCTATTAACTACGATATTCAAAAAATTAAATGCAATGTAAATTGCCATTTAAAAAAAATCTTTTTGAATATTGCTCTTTTGTCTTTCTTCTCGCTAACATTTTTCATTCTTAGTAACCTATTGCGTCTTAGTGACATTATCGCCTTATTTGGAGTGAAATGATTAACTCATTTCTCACTCTTTGGAAGACCTCCTTTTTAACTGATCATTTTGTAGGAGTGTAGTCCTACGCACCACACTTGGTCAATTACGGATTGGTGGAACTATTTAACCCATAGTTGAAGGTTTTCAATTCATAATTGTCCGTCTTCCAAAGGAAATATCACTCATTATTTCCTGCTACTTACCCATAGCTGGGGGTGGGGGGAAAGTGCTTGATTTGGGATTCATCATTTTCCCAAAGGTATATATCGACAAGTGAGAGTAACAAACTCGACTGGAATTAGAACTGAAGACTCTGATTTCTCAATCAAAGCCGCTGTCCATGACTGTCGTATATCGAATTGTCTAACATGCTCTACGCATAGTTAGAACCAGTGGTGGCAGTCTACCGGTTTGTCCGAACCGATTCTTAAAATTATAAAAGCTTAGCCAACATGTTGTTGCATTATCCGAAAATAATCTAATATATTAATAGCCGATGATCGAAGTAAAACCGTTAGTTACGCTACGCTCGTGCACGCGCGCGCCTAGTGAGACTCTAATAGATTTACGCCCCCTACCGTTATGATGTCATAAATTTGATAGATCTTCCGTCGGATTTGCAGTGGTTCACTTCGAATGTGGCTAAGAAACCATGACACAAGCTGATGACACTAGAGTCAAAAAGCATCAGACTTCTGAACAGAAATATGATGAGAAGAGAATTTCAATCTGGAAATGTCTTAATAAATAAATAAAGGCTTTCTATTAAATTATCAAAATAGTTTTATTATCTTTGATAGTATAAAGTGATTTGTTTCCATTCTTAGATTGAAAAGAAAACATACAGAATAGGTTCGTAAAAGATTACCTCCTTTTATAGAACCGGTTCTTGGAAATTTATGATACAACCCTTTACTAAATTAACAATTTACTTAGAAAAACGTTTTACACAGATCCCTATCCAACAACGGAATTATTTAGCTGCACTGAATACATATCAAAAGTTGGATTAATATCTGATTTACGATATTATAAAGTATTGTCTGATAACCAACCAATTTTAAATAAGTTTGCGTCATACAATGTCATCTTTTAAGGACGGTAAATGAATGTCTTTTTAAGGAAAATACGATATCTAAAAAATAAATTCAATGTTAAAATTAAATCCTCTGAAGAGTGGATGCAATTTCGGCGAAATCAGAGTAGAAACATGATAATTAAAATTTTTATTTTATTTATTTACTCTCTCGCTCCCTATCTCTTTCCATATTTTTCCATTTCAACTTCGAAACTGTCTCTGTCTATATATATATATATATATATGTATATATATATATATAATGAAAGGAGCTGAGGCACATAGATGGACGAACGTAAACGTAAGAAAAAAGAATTCGTAACAATTACCGCCATAAAGACTCGCCGTCAACGCATGCGCATACATTCATCCATAATCGCATCTGAATAGGCGATAAATTCATAGTTCTACACACATACGTTCAGACATACGTAAAGATATTTATAAACTCACGAGACATAGATAGATATATGGAGAAAGAGAAAGAGAGAGAGAAAGAGAGAGTGTGTATGTAGGAGGGCGGACGTCGAGCACACAGACATACATGAATTGCGACAAAATGTACTGTTTATTGATTTTTTTTAATCTTCAAAATATACAAAGACACGGATTCGATATTCCACAATGAAGGCTCGAGGTGTTTTGTGTACACACCAGCGTGCAGTGTAGGACATGCGTATGTTAGTGTGCATGGGAGGGGAGAGACAGGGGGGCACAGAAAGCGATAAAGGAGCGAAGGGGGTGGCGAAGAAGCCGAGGTGTCTTTGAATGTAGCCTTGTGACAGCGTCATATATGTATTGAAATATTTAAGTGTTTGAAATTTATGTCCTTTGCGAATTGCTGGTGACAAGCGTTCTTCGAAAGTGAGGCTAGTAAATCATCCAATTTAGATAGGCAAATATATATATATATATATATATATATATATATATATATATATATATATAGATCACCCACCGTCTCTATCTCTTTCCTTCACTTACTTTTTTCTTCTCACAAGTTCTGTCTTTCTTTATCTCTCTCTTTTTTTTTTATCAACAATCACTCTTTCTTTCTTTATACCAACTTCTCTATCTCTCATCCACCCTTTCTTTATCCCAACCTCTCACTTTTTCTTTATTCACAACCTTTCTTCCTCTTTTATCTCAACTTTTCTATCTCGCTGTTTCTTTTTTTTTATCTCTCTCTCTTTCTTTAGAAAAGCCACTATTTCACTCACTCTATATCGTTATCACAAATCTCTCTTTCTTTTATCTCCAACCTCTCTCTTAATCTCTTTATTTCTTTATCACTAACTTCTCTCTCACTCTCTCTTTCGTTATCTCCAGCCACATACTCTCTTTCTTTATCCACAACACTCTTTCCTTACTCCCTATTTTTGTCATTAAACTCTCTCACTCTCACTATTTCTTTGTCCATAACATCTCTCAGTCTTCTTTATCCCAATTTCTCTCTGTCTCTACCCTATCATTCTTTCTTTCTTTCTTTCTTTCTTTCTTTTTTCTTTCTTTTCTGTCTTTCTTTCTTTCTTTTTTCTTTCTTTCATTCTTTTTCCTTCTTTCTTTCTTTCTTTCTTTTTTTTTTCTTTCTTTCTTTCTTTTTCCTTCTTTCTTTCTTTCTTTCTTTTTTCTTTCTTTCTTTTTCTTTCTTTTCTTTCTTTCTTTCTTTCTTTCTTTTTTCTTTCTTTCATTCTTTTTCCTTCTTTCTTTCTTTCTTTCTTTCTTTCTTTTTTCTTTCTTACTTTTTCTTTCTTTCTTTCTTTCTTTTTTCTTTCTTTCTTTTCTGTCTTTCTTTCTTTCTTTTTTCTTTCTTTCATTCTTTTTCCTTCTTTCTTTCTTTCTTTTTTCTTTCTTTCTTTCTTTTTCCTTCTTTCTTTTCTTTCTTTCTTTCTTTTTCTTTCTTTTTCTGTCTTTCTTTCTTTCTTTTCTTTCTTTCATTCTTTTCCTTCTTTCTTTCTTTCTTTTTTTTTTCTTTCTTTCTTTCTTTCTTTCCTTCTTTCTTTCTTTCTTTCCTTCTTTCTTTCTTTCTTTCTTTCTTTCAATATCTGTCTCATTTTGTCTCGCTCATTTTCTTCATTCCAGCCGCTTTCTCTCTTTATCCCAATCTCTCTGCCTTTCTTTATCACCATTTTCTCTCTCTTTCATTAATTCTCTATCGCTCTCTTTCTCTATACCCCCAAACTATATCACTCTTTCTTCATCGCAAAATATCTCTCTCAATTTCCCTTTATATATAATATCTCTCTCTTTCCTTTCTCTAACCTCTCTCTCTCTTGCTTTCGTTATTCTCAGCCTCCCACTCAGCTGTTACTCTCAACCTATCTCTTTCTTTCTGTATATGTAACCTATCTCTTTCTTTATTCTCTCTCACTCTCTCTCTCTCTCTCTCTCTCACTCTCTCTCATATACACTTTTTTCTCTCTCTTTATCCACACAATCTCTCCTTTTTTATTGCACACTATTTCGGACTAAAATTTCCTCAGTGTGGACTGTAATTATCAATGATTTTTGAGATGGCTGTTTTTACATCTATCTCGATAACTAGCTATCGTGGTGTACACACATACACACCACGCATACGTACACACATGTGTGTGTGTATTTTTCGAACACGCCATTTTTCGAACATTTTTGTCATGATTTTTCTTCCATTTTGTCGCGTCTTCAGTATGGTCATTTTATCTATCCATCTATCTATCTATCTATCTATCTATCTATCTATCTAACAGCCTGTTTACATTCATCTATCTATCTATCATATCTATCTATCACAGCCTGTTCATATTCATTATCTATCTATCTATTCATCTATCTATCTATCTATCTATCTATCTATCTACCATAGCCTGTCTCATATTCATCTTCATCTATCTATCTATCTATCTATTCATCTATCTATCTATCTATCTATCTATCAGATATGCTGTTCATATTCATTCATCTCATCTATCTATCTATTCATCTTATCTATCTATTCATATTCATCTATCTATACATACGCACACGCATTTATACATACACATGTACACACATGCATGTATATATACA